AAAAAAAAAAAAAAAAATCTCAGGAAGAATATAACAGATCAATTAATAATGTCACAACCCAGAGAAAACTCTTAATATTTAGTATATTTCTTTCTAGAAATGTGTACTTTATGTAATTAGGATCATACTATATATATACTGCTGAAACTGTTTTTTCAGTTAACATCATTCTGATCCTTTTTCTCTTATTACTAAGAATACTTTAACATATTCTGACTATACAATATTGTACCTTACAAATATACCACAATGTTGAACACTGATTCATTTATTCAACAAATAGTTATTGGGTGGCTACTATGTACCAGGCATTGGTCTAGGTGCAAACCTAAGAGGCTCACATCCCTGTTCACATGGAGTTTTCAGTTTCCTAGGGGATACAGGAAATACATAAGTAACAAGATAAAAGAGAAATATGCAGACAGAGATAAATGTTAAGACAAAGTAGGAAAGGGAAATAGAATGTGTGTGGTGGGGTGTTGCTATCTTTAAACAATGTAGTCAAGGAAGGATATGCTGGTTATTAGTAATTTTTTACTGGGATAAACTTTATTTGTACATCCAATTATTTCTTTTTTATTTTATTTTTTAAGCGATGGGGTTTCATTATATTGCCCAGGCTGGAGTGCAGTGGCAATTCTAGGCACAAGTATAGCACACTACAGCCTCAAACTCTCAAGCTCAAGCCATCCTCCTGCCTCAGCTTCCTGTGTCACCAAAACTACAGGTGCACACCACTGGGCCCAGCTCTTCCAATGATTTCTTTAGGGCCGAGTCCTAGAAGTAGACTTGAAGCCTCTTAAGGTCTCATCTAAAAATGCCAAATCCCCAAGTTACATTTCCAAGGGCAGCCTAAAGTCTTGTTCCAGGTGAGTTCCACTTCATAGAGGCTGCTTCACCACACCTCATCCCTGGCCCTGGCTGCATGCACTTACCCGCTTAACCGCCAGTGTGGCGATGCCCAGCATGGCCGCTCCACCCACCCCCAGCACCAGCCGGGCATTGGAGAGCACAAAGTCAATGGCTGTGCCGATGCCATTGTCATCCTTCTTGCCTTTGCGCTCACCAGCGCCTGCCATTGCTCACCTGAGAATTAAGACAGAACAGAACATAGCCATCAGTAGCTGGATCCATTGCTCCTTCTCCCTCCCCCATCAAACCAATCCCCAGCAAGTAAGGGTACTCTGTGAGTTCCAGCAACCCAAATCCTCTTGCCCCTAGCACTGCATGCTCTAGAGTCTAGAGGAACACACCATGTCCCATGCAAAGGGGAGAAACTGACCATGCGTACTGTGGGAAAACCTTTCACAACCTAGTGAGATTTTAAAAGCATTAAACTCATTGTCAATCCTTTTTTGTATTACAGTAAAGTACCCTACTGTTCAATATAAGCCCCTCTCTACTAATTCACATTTTTTTCTTTTTTTTTTGGAGTTGGAGTCTCACTCTGTCGCCCAGACTGGAGTGCAGTGGCCGCTCCCGGCCACCGCAGCCTCGACCTGCTGGGCTCTGGCAATCCTTCTGCCTCAGCCTTCCAAGTAGCCGGAATTACAGGCATGCGCTACCACGCCCGGCTGATTTTTTTTGATTTATTGTAGAGATGAGGTCTCGCCAAGTTGCCCAGGCGGGTCTTGAACCTGCGGGCTCAGGCAATCCACTCACCTCAGCCTCCCAAAGGCGCGGGATTACAGGGTGAGCCATCGAGCCCGACTTTTTCACAATGTTATACTTTAGAGAAGGTTACATCTAAGAAGGGCCCTAGGGTTCATCCAATCCTATCACATCACCTCGTACATAGAAGGTGACTTGCCGGAAGTCCCAGAGAAAAGAAACAACATAACTGTCCTGGAACTCAGGACTCCCACCCTCCTTATATGAAGCTTTTGCTATTGTATCATGCTTACCTTTATGCAAATCAAATTCTGTCTACTTTGTGCAAACAAAACAAAGCAACCAAGTATGGTGGCTCACACTTGTAATCCCAGCCCTTTGGGAGGCAGAGGGGAAGGTGAGAGTTTGAGATCAACGTGGACAACTTGGCAAGACCTTATCTTTTTTTTTTTGAGTTGGAGTCTCACTCTGTGGCCCAGGCTGGAGTGCAGTGGCACACTCATGGCCACCCCAGCGTTGACCGGCTGGGCGCTGGCGATTCTTTTGCCTCAGCCTTCCAGGTAGCCGGAACTACAGGTGCACACTACCACGCCTGGCTAATTTTTTCTTTATTGTAGATATGAGGTCTCAAACGTGCAGGCTCAGGCAATTTACTTGCCTCAGCCTCCCAAAGTGCTGGGATTACAGGCTGAGCCACCAAGCCTGGCCTATAATAATTTTTTTTAAATTTAGCCACACATCTGTAGTTCCAGCTACTTGGAAGGCCGAGGCAGAAGGATCACCTGAGCCCCGTATATTGAGGCTGTGGTAGCTGTGAGCATGCCACGGCACTCCAGCCTGGGTGACAGAGTGATACTCCGACTCAAAAACAAAACATAACAACAACAAAAACATACACATAAAACAAATGCACCAAACACCCAGCACTTGGAGATATAACTATAAATTCATATGTGAGAAAAGTCCAAAGAAGCAAAGGAAGGAACCCTCTATGGACCCCTCATTTGACAGATGCTTTGTTTCTCAGGGAAAGTGCAGGAGGATTACAAAAGCCTAGGTGAGGCTTGTATTGGGAGACGGGAAACAAAAAGGATACTGTAGACACACTGTTCATTGGGGGAAAAAGAAGCTGGGCTTGGTGACTCAACCTGTAATCCCAGCACTTTGGGAGGCCGAGGTGAGTGGATTGCCTGAGCCCGCGGGTTCAAGACCCGCCTGGGCAACTTGGCGAGACCTCATCTCTACAATAAATAAAAAATTAGCCAGGCGTGGTAGTGTGCACCTGCAGTTCCAGCTATTTGGAAGGCTGAGGCGGAAGGATGGCCGGAGCCCAGCAGGTCGAGGCTGTGGTGGCCGGGAGCGGCCACTGCACTCCTGTCTGGGTGACAGAGTGAGACTCCAACTCAAAAAACCCAAAAAAACCAAAAACCCCGTCTGTTCAAATGTGATCCCCCCTAAAAGGAGTACTTGGGCACAACCCCAAAGAGGCTGACCTCCTGTACAGTGCTCAAGCATGGCAAGCACTCATTTTGCTCCCGCCTACAAAAGAGTCATCCTGATTGAAGTAGCCATGGTCCCCAAATAATCCCACTTCCCATGGAGTTAGGACCCTGGAACCAACCCAGGTAAAAGAAGGCAGTGTGGTTCAGACCTAAATTCTGATCTGAACACTGCTTCTGTTCTACCTCCCATGTCCTTTACAACAGAATTGCATGGAAAAAAATTTTATACCATTCAGCATCCCAGAATGTGACAGGACCATGGAGACAGAATCACTTAGCATATCTTTCAATGTAAAATAACATCCCTTCTAATACCATGTTACAACTGGGCATTGCAAGTTTCACATTTCCTACTCCTGCCTCTACTTCCATGTCTCCCTACCAAAAAAGAAATATTTCTGACTTTACTCATTCCAGCAATTGAGTTAACTGGAGTCACTGTCAAGCCTAAAAATATTTTTTCCCTACTAGAGTTCATACCTTGGGGCACTTTCCTTTTTCCCATTGCTTACAGTCAATAGAAACTACAGGTTTAGGGACATAATGAGAGACTATTTGGTCAAACCATGTATATGCCTGCTTCCAATGCATAGAGCAAGCAAGGTCAAGGAGAAAAGTTAAACTTTGTATTTTCAGGTGGGGTCAGACAAGAACACTAGTCACCTTCCCTTAGTGACCACTGAGAGAGATGGGACATATTAAACTCAGCTGAAGAAAAGTAACTCAATCAGGAGAAAAGGAAAGCGTTATACATTTCCCCACATGTAGCAATGTTTGTTTTATTTCTAGAAAACAAACAAGCTTTAACAGGGCATGGTGGCTCAAGCCTATAATCCCAGCACTTTGGGAGGCCGAGGCGAGAGGATTGCCTGAGTCCAGGGGTTCAAGACCAGCCCAGGCAACTTGGCAAGACTTCGTCTCTACAATAAATAAAAAAAATTAGCTGGGAGTGGTGGTGCGCACCTGTAGTTCCAGCTACTTGGAAGACTGAGGCAGAAGGATCACCTGAGCCCAGCAGGTTGAGGCTGCAGTGGCCATGAACGTGCCACTGCACTCCAGCCTAGGTGACAGAGTGAGACTCCAACTTAAAAAAAAAATAGGAACAAGCCGGGTTCGGTGGCTCAGCCTGTAATCCCGCGCCTTTGGGCAGCTGAGGTAAGTGAATTGCCTGAGCCCGCGGGTTCAAGACCCGCCTGGGCAACTTGGTGAGACCTCATCTCTACAATAAATCAAAATAAGCTGGGCGTGGTAGCACGTGCCTGTAGTTCCAACTACTTGGAAGGCTGAGGCGGAAGGATCGCCGGAGCCCAGCAGGTCAAGGCTGCAGTGGCCGGGAGCGGCCAGTGCACTCCAGTCTGAGTGACAGAGTGAGACTCCAACTCAAAAAAAAAAAGAAAACAAGCAAACCTATACTGATCTATTTATAACAGGTAGAACCAATAGATGCAGGTGCCCTCTAACTGATCCTTGAATGTGACGCAGCAGAACCAGAAAGGAACCTCCTCTCCCAGCAGATGCCAGAAGGGGCCTCCCTGGACGATTTAGTCCTTGGCTTTTCTGTGATAAGAACAAGGTGGTAGTGCAGCATAACAGAAGGGAGCATGAGTTTTAGACTTGAGCCCTGACATGTTGGCTGGATGACCTCATGTGAGTGACTTAACACTTGAGCTGTAAGAAATTATCCATATGAAAAATGGATAGGCTGGGCTCAGTGGCTCAGCCTGTAATCTCAGCATTTTGGGAGGCCAAAGTGAGTGGATTGCCTGAACCTGTGGGTTCGAGACCAGCCTGGGCAACTTGGTGAGACCTCGTCTCTACAATAAAATAAAAAATAGCTGGGTGTGGTAGCATGCGTCAAGTAGTTCCAGCTACTTGGAAGGCTGAGGCGGAAGGATCACTGGAGCCCAGCAGGTCAGCACTGGGGTGGCCGTGAGAGTGTGTGCCACTGCACTCCAGCCTGGGCGAAGGAGTGAGAACTGCAACTCAAAAAAAAAGAAAAATGGATAATGATCCCTGCATGACCCAAATTATAGTTATGAGGAAAAAACAGCTTCTACAATATGTATGTAAACACTTTATAAACTGTAAAAGTGCTTCACAAATGTGGGCTATCATTAAGTCTTGTAAGATTTGCATCCAGCCGGCTCAGTGGCTTAGCCTGTAATCCTGCGCCTTTGGGAGGCTGAGGTGAGTGGATTGCCTGAGGCCGTGGGTTCGAGACCCGCCTGGGCAACTTGGTGAAACCTCATCTCTACAATAAATAAAAAACTGGCCAGGTGTGGTAGCGCGCGCCTGTAGTTCCAGCTATTTGGAAGGCTGAGGCAGAAGGATTGCCGGAGCCCAGCAGGTCGACGCTGTGGTGGCCGGGAGTGGCCACTGCACTCCAGCCTGGGCGACAGAGTGAGGATT